CTTCTACTTTCTGATTTAAAAGTCTAGCAAAATAGTAAATCATAGAGATAATTACGGTCTGTATGCTGTTTTGGGTTTTGTGTAAGAAGCAATACATCCGTGTACCACCCTCAGAGATGCACAGTGTGAAAAAAACATGCCTTGGAGTTTGGTTTCTTTTGTTGTTGGGGTTGTTTTGGCTTTTGGTTATTTTTTTTTCTCTGCCATATGTATCCCATCTGCTGGGACGTATCCTGGCTGGCTTTCTGAGGTAGAAGAGTTTGTGTCTTATCTGATGATATTCAAAGTGTATTTTGTGGGTTTTGGGGCAGACACCACACTTTTTTTTTTTTTTTGAGAATTAAGAACACTTAACGTCTCTAGATATACATGATAAATAATGCTTATAATGTACTGGCAGGAGCAGCGTTTAGACTTTGTGTTGAGTTGCACTATTAATTGGGGAGAGAAAAAAAAATTAGCTTAAAAAAAAGAGACAGATTATGTGAAGGCCACTCAGACACAGGTTTCTTCCGTCATTGGAGAAGTCCATGGAGGTCTATCCTCTGTGGGAAGGATCCCACACTGGAGCAGGGGAAGAGTGTGAAGAGTCTTCCCCTGAGGAGGGAGGAGCAGCAGAGACAGCATGTGATGAACTGACCCCCATTCCCCATCCCTCTGTGCCACTGGGGGGAGGAGGTAGAGAAAATTGGGAGTAAAGTTGAGCTTGGGAAGAAGGTAGGGGTTGGGGGAAGCTTTTTTTAAGATCTGATTTAATTTTCTCATCATCCTATTCTGATTTAATCGGTAATAAATAACCGATTTCCCCAAGTTCAGTCCATTCTGCCCATGATGGTAACTGGTGCGTGATCTCTCCCTTTCCTTATCTCAGCCCACAAGACTTTTGTCAAATTTTCTCACCCCTGTCCAGCTGAGGAGAGGAGTGATAGAACAGATTTGGTGGGCATCTGGTGTCCAGCCAGGGTCAACCAACTACATGTTGAAATCAGGGAAATCTTCAAATATTTTGACTAAGAGCTACATTAGTGGGATCATTTCGAGTGGGCATTTCAGGAAGCTTAAAATGGTTTTATTATTCTGTAGGGTTCAGAAGTTATTATTTCTTTTGAAAAACCTGGAAGAAAATGTTATTTAAGAGTTGTCTAGTCAGGAGGGTGAAAGGGAAGACAGTTTTCCAGATCTGGGGACCAGAGTGATTATATGTCCCTCACAAAGATGTTGTACCAAGAGAAGTTCATGATAACTTAGTAAATCTGAGGCCACCTCAAACTTTTCAAAAGTGATTCTATTTTTTAGTTATTATGAGTTGGTATTAGAAGACACTTATGTGAAGTCATATGGGAGGAAAATATTTTAAAAGTCCTAAAGTTCAAACTGGGTAGAAGTATTGTTCATAGCCCCACAGTTTTAGTGCCAGTAAGCATGGAAAAAGATGTTTCCAATGTATACGGTAAGTCCAATTAAAAATTGACTACAGACAATAAATTCTGCATGCCAGCAAGTTTCTCCAGCTATACCTTATCTAGATCTGAGTTAACAGTACCCAGAAACTGAAACTGCTGTAGAACTAAGCCTTGAATTTTATACTTTCTTAAATTGACTGTTGAATAGTTATTTAGGAAGCTAAAATGAAATGACTTCATTATCTAAGCCATTTCTAATAATGGAAATCGGATTCCTAAATCATGTGGTTTCTGTTGAAAATTTTGCCCAGAGTCCTTCAGTAGATGAAGGCATGTGGGGAAAGCTGGGTAATGAGGCATCTAATTGCCACTGTCTTTGAGATATTTTTGGTAGTAATCTGTACCCTTTGCATGACCACTCTGTTGCGTTCTGAGGAAAGGAGAATCACTTTCATGCCTCTTTTGCAGAGGAACAGAATCTGTAGCTATCCTAACAAGGGAGGTCTTGGTTCTTTTGCCATACTGAAGATCAACCACAGTGCAAACATATCCTTTTATCAGTCCATCAGGATATAAATACTTTAACTTCATTGTTACTATTTCTATTTGTGTATAGAGATTTTTGGGTTTTGCTTCTAGATTTGTATATAATATTTTTTTTTCTGTAGATAATGTTATTATTCTCATGCAACTAACGTAGGATTCTTGAGTAATCTTAGAATCCCACTTGTATGTTGGTGACTTTTTCAGGAAATAATTTGATTAGTAAGAAGTAAATTATATTTTAAAAATATGTTTATACATACACAAGAGAATGTCTTGGTTTCTGGCCATTTTTTGGTGTCTGGTTTTGGAATAATGAGGTCAAAATCACTAACCAGAATTGTAAGAGTTCACTAAAATGACTTGGTTTTTAACCTCATCAAATGAAACAATATGTAAAAATGTTACATTGTTGGTTTGGTGAAGTGACTAAAGGTATTTCTCTGTTATTCCAAGGCTGCTGTAGAATGACACTTCTTCTAATTACTAGTGGCATAGAGGAAGATAAATACACATCTGCAATTTTCTTCCTGATTTGTACAGATTTCCAACACGTCACACAGATGATCAGTGAAAATGCTGGTGTTCAGTAATTATCTTCAGCACTAGAAAGGTTTGCACAGATATGTTAATAATCCCATTAATCTTCTTCCTTTATATGTAAAGCTGTAGCCCAGATGTTGCATCATTTGCAAATCTTGCAATTAAAACATTTTATAACTTGCAGTTATGCAAAGGGGCAGTAGACTGGAAAATGGGTAAAATTGCTTGGCTAGGACATTACCATGGCAACACACTGACCTCCGTTCAATTAGTTACAACTGAAGATCCAGCTATTAATTATAATGGTCAGAAAAGGATATAATCTGAATCTCCTTTTGCCTTTTTAGTATGGACATTTCTCACTTGCCATAAATCTCTGACTTTAAGAGACAAAGCTCCAGACCTGAAGCATTAAGAGTGATAGTGCTTAAATACTGATTGAAACTAGAGGACTGAAAAAGAATCTCATTTATCAGCTATATTCAAGGTACTACTTCAACTTTTTGTAGTCTGAGCCCTCTGTCAGGCAGACTTCAAAGTGAATATTAGTTATTGCTCATTTTAGCTATTGAAATGTACATTATGTGTGCCGGCAATTATCTCTCACTTTAGAAAGCTACTGTTAATTAGGGCCCAACTCATCACCATGGGACTTGTGGAAACGGATAGATGCCTTCCTTTTTCAGTTTTACATTTTGCTGTAGCAAAGTTGTTATTTTCTTGACTGACCGGTCCAGTCCCACCACAGTTACCCAGTAATGCACTGGCTGACAGCAAATACCTTAGTGTAGGGTCATTTTGGGGGAGGTTGTGCAAGGTACTGCCTCACCACATCCCTTTATATTCACTCCAACAAAAAAGGCAAATCTTGAGCCTATGATATATTGAAATTCTCAGGATTTTGGTGGGGTTTTTTTTTTGTCTTTTTTTTTTCTGTTTTAATTATTATTTCTTATATTTAAATTTTATTTCTGGTTAGCTCCACATTACAATAAACAGTAAATGGGAGAAGACCAGGTACTCAGCACAATTACTTCTCCCTTCCACCTTGAAGTGCAACATATTCAATATTCATGTAATCAATGCTAATGTGTATTTACATTCTGTATCTTATTAGGATGACGAGAGTTGTGGGGTTTTTTGGTGGTGGCGCTGGTGGCATTGGCAGGAGGATGTATATTTGTAGAGGGGTTTCTTCTGCATAGTTTTCCTTTTTTCTTTCCTTTTTTCTTAAACACTTTGCCCTAATAATTACTGATGGAAGGCAAGGAGGGAGCAGAAGGCTCTGACTGGGAATAGAGTCTCAAAATCACTGGACTGGGCAAAGTTAACTAAACACAAGGGCCTGGCAAAATACATGGTTACTCTGTGACTGACTTTCAGAAGTTCTGGATTAGACCCATATAGATTAAAATGTGCGTTTAAATACGTATCTCTTATATAATAGCCACCAAGAAATCTCACCCCAGAAGGTGCTTGTGCATTTTTTATGATAGTCATACCCTGCACAGATGGCAAGTGTATAAATTGCATCCTGGTTTTTGCAGCCCAGTGCAGGACTGGTGTGAAACAAGAGGCACAGAACAGTACAATACGAAATAGTCACTGAAATTATTTTGAGGTGATCCCCATGCAAGATGCAGATTTGCACCGCTTAGATGAAAAAAAGATATGCTAGTGAAATCTTCTTAGTAATCATAATTACATTGTACCAACTGATGGACAATTACGGCAAGTTCAGAACTCCTTTTAGCGTATTGATTAAAGAGCTGTTAACTGTTTGTTGTTGTGATTCTTTCCCTCTCTGCCTCCAAGGCCCTTTCTTGCAAGAATTTACCTGTGCAAGTAAACCCATTTCTAGTTCTACTTTGCAGTTAAGAAAACATATAAAACCTATAGCTTAAAGACAGCATGATAAATTACCTTGCTTTTCATAGGGGTTCCCCTATGTATATAGCAGCCTACAGTTGTTGTAGAGTAGATGGTTCAAAGATGCAAATTCAGCATAATTTGTTTTGAAACAGTCTTCAGATTATTTGAGGTCCAGGAATGAATACAGAAACTGTAAGTTTCCACCCTTCCCTCCTTCTTTCCCCCAGGAGATTTATAATATATTTGGTGAGTTTGGGTTTTCTGTGGGGTTTTGTTTAGTTTGGGTTTGTGTTCCTTTGTAAAGTTCATTTAACTCCCTCTTCATCCCAAGGTGATGTGCACCCTATATGAGTCAGAGTATCTGAACAAAACTCTCTTTGATCTTCTTAGGATTATTTTGGTAACATGCTCTCTATTTTTTTAATAAATGGAACTAAATAGTAAACAGATATAGTAAAATTCAAGAGAGAATTTGCAGTTTCTCTGAGAGAAAGACACATACCTATTCCCAAATGTAAGTCAGTCACATAAACGAGACATTCACATAGAAGAAGAGATTTAGACAGTCCAGTGAAGTAGATGGGAGGGGAAAGTTTCAGAACAGAAAGAACATAGTTGTAAAAAAACATTTTGACTCACAGAAAAGGCCACTTTTCTGCTTTCCAATGTAATTCTTCAGCTTTTCTTTGCAAAAGTACATTTGTACAATATTTTTCACACTGCTTAGGCTTCTTAACATTGCCATTTGACTGAACATGCAGAAGAATTTATGTTCTGGATTAAAGCACTAGGTTTCAGGCGGTGGAATCTGGCAGTAGGCACATTTGCTATTATTAAATTCCATAGAGTCAGCAAATTTCCCATATCATGGAAGATATTTCTGCCTGCTTCTACTTGAATTGAGTTTAATGTTTCCCACTCTTTCCATGAGATACATATTCTGATTGAGTTTATTTTCTCTGTGTTCCCTAAAAATCAGCCTGAGCTATCTGAACACTTCAAAAGTATCTGGTTTACATTTAATCAATATCCTTTTGAGCATTTAAATGTTTTCATGATGTCCCTTTTAACCATCTGTTCAAAGTCAATAAACCAACTCAACTGTTTCTTTTTCAGTGGGTCATTTTATAAGCCTCTCCTTATACAGGATAGTAGTTGAGATGTGTCAGTTTCAAAATCAGAGAATCAAAATAAGGTACATTTGGGATCCAGAAGAAAAATAATGGTTAGACCCTGTCACTTTCTCCTGTATACGCTTCTTATTTATTTCCTTTGGCACAGTTATATGAGTACTCATTTGATTAACTGTTTCAAATATATTTATAAGGAAGCAGATTGTTGTGCTGCTGAATCTTCACATTCCTCATACTTTCACTGGAAGTGCTTTGTCAGAGTCTGGAGGTAGACCTCAGAGGCTATGTCTATTGTAGCAAGTAGATGAAGAAAATCCTGTCATCTGGCCCTGCAGATAAAAGACATAGCACAGCTTTTTCCATATAGTTAATTTCTCTTCCTTCCTCTCTTGTCCCCTTCCTCACAAAACAGTGGCTTGGTCCCTTCTACCTGCTGAGAGCAGTGCTTGATCCATGATAGTTCCCCAAAGTATTCCTGAGCATTTTCTGGATCAAACTAGTTTTTGCAATCCAAACATGTGTCAAGAGAGTGCTAGCAGTGTGTATCATCACATCCTAGTGCTGGCCTGTTTGGTTTGCTGTCATGGATGTAGCTGAACAGTTTTGCCATCTATAACCATATGGGTGGCTGCAAGTAGACCCAACCTCAGTTCTAGCCACAGATGAAGCAGCAGGAGAAAAGCTGTGTGGCAATTCTGGTGCAGCCAAAATGAATATATTTTGAATATCCTGAAGGCTTATTATTTCAAGCTCAGGATTGCACTTATATTTTCACAGGACTTCTAGTTTTCAAGTTGGCGTATGTTCTATTAGCTGAGGAGGCATAGCTCGCTTGCATCTGTCTGGAGAATACCATCTGCTTCTCGCTTTTCATTAGCAGATCTAGTAACTATAGCCATATGTGGTTTACACAGAGTGAAATCCTTGCCCCAGAAATCTCTTTTTGGGTTGCCTGATCAATTTGATGCCAGCACAGGTGAATGTGCCTCAGAGGCCAAATTTTATTAATCAGTGGAAATAAAGTAATAAAGTTATTTTTGTCATAGCTTTTATCAGAAGTATGTAGTAAAAAATGCTAGCATACACTATGACTAAGTGTATATGCATATGCATGCACATGTGCTTACAAACACATATATGTATAAAAGCAAGATATTTATACTGTAGATAGTATACATTTTTGGAAGTGCAGACTTTACCATTTGCAGAAAAGTTAGTTGAAGAGGGTAGTGAAATCACTTTGCTCTGAAGAGAGGGGTTTGGGAGGAACAGAATTCTTTGTGTCATATGGTGGATGGGCTTTGTAATATCTATGAGCATAATACAGACTGTCCCATGACTTTCTGTATTGCACTATTCATTACTGTGCAGGAGATATTCAGTGTTGACCAGTTTCTCAGAAATCCATCAGAATGGTTTTTGCTTTCTCTCTCAAAGTAACATGAGCAAGAATATGCACTTCCATTTTAACTAGCCTTTGGCCCATCCATGAGGAGGTGAGATTTTGTAAGCCTGTCCTGTGTTGCAGTGGTGGGGTGAACTCTCTGCAGTTTCAAGCGGTTTCTATTCGTAGTTGAGCTGTACACTGAACATGTGCAAAATGAAACAGACATATGGAGAGAAGGGAAAAACCTGTTATTAAATTATACAGTAGACAATGCTATACTACATAGATGCTGTCACTGATTTTGGTGTTTTTTGTTTTCTTCCCCCAAACAAATTGAACCTATGATATAAACCTTATGTTATGACAAAACTAAAATCAGATGAAAGAAGTCCAACTTTGTTAGGAAAGGTTGATGCTCTGTGACCCAAATGTCTGACCTGATATCGCTCTCAATGTTAGTAGCCACCCTACAGGCATTTTCAAAGCAATTTCAGCTACTGTACATTTAATTCGCAGTGACATAATTAGAACATTAGTAAACTTGGCTATCTGGTCATTGCAAGTCATCATTTCTGTACGTGATGAAGTTATAGCAGTATGAAGGCTCTGACACTTTAAGGAGAAACAATCTGTAAGTTAATTTTTTAGAACACTGCAGCATACAAAAGCCCCTTCTCTTTTCTTGTTTTTTAAACATGTGCTGCAGACATCCTTACAGAATGATCCCATGTTTGCTGAAGCTTTGACATTGAAGCATTGTAAAGTGAACCAAAAAGACAGCGCAGAGAAGAGAGCCGTGTTTGGCATACAAAATAGGCCCCTTGCAAGATCAAACTGTCGCACACCTTCCCCGGAACATCAGTAGACATAGCTTAGTCCCATCAATAGTTTACTGACCTGTGCTGTGATAACATTTCCATCTCTGGAGTGCAGAGTATGTGACATTTTGCAAGTACTTTTAACGGGGAACGGGGGAAGGGGAGATGACGCTTATCCAGCTTGTTGGTGCGCAGTGGACAGGGCCAGGGGTATTGATTGGGCAGGAAACTCTCCTCCGCTGACTGATTGCCACCCCTTGTGTGTGTATGGTCTTTGAACTTTGTTGTAGCTGGATAAATGGAACAGTTTCCAGTGAGATCAGTCAGGTCTCAGCAAAACAAACATCAGCCAAATTGAACAAAAAAAATATAAATAATCAAAGAAGCCCTTGATACTGCCTCAGTCACAGACAGGTTTGATGCTGTTGTGGGCTGTTTGACTGAGAATGTAGATGACTGTTTGAGACAATAAAGATTTTAAGATCCCGTCACACACTTAACTTCCAGAACGACTGTCCTTCCTGTTATCCTCAGGTCAGCACTAAAAGTGAAAGGTTGGAATACCAATTAACTTATCTTCCCGACAAAACACTGCTCAGTTCAGGGGTATTATGTAGCTCAATATTTTATTAACGCAGGATGGCTTTGAGCTGCATTTCCTTGATGCACTCATACAGGTCTTTTCTTGAAATTATTTTATTAATTATTGATATCATTGGAAATCAACCACAAGTTTGAATTAAAGATTTTTGAACTTTGTATTTATTTTTGCTGCATCTTCATTTTTACATAAAAGGTGAACCAACACAATATGAACTATTAGCCATTAGTCTGTTCCTTTTATTTTTTTTCCTTTTATTCTGGGGGCTGAATAATTATTGTAATATTGTGCACTAATGTTCTGGAAAAATGATTATAATAGTATACAATAACATATTCTGAGAATAACTTTCATAATTAATAGTAATTTACAATTTCCCATAATTGTTAGTGGGGAGACTAAAGATCTAGGGATGTGCAAGAACACAGCTCGGTTATATGAAAGTAAAGAGTTTGAAATTTCTCTGTCTCTAAGTTGGAAGTTTTCCAGAGGCTTCTGAAGAAACCTTGCACATACTATCAAAAATGATACTTCTGAAGTTCTCCTTACTCTTCACCTTTTCTTGTATGTTCTTCTCTCCCATATGGACATAAAAAGGCTACTGAATTTCCCTGTCTTAGATTATGAAAACAGTAACTTGCACTCTCGAGCTATTTATATTCCTGATTTGGGGATTATATTTTATTTGTGTGTGTCTGCTTATTGGCTAACTTTGTCAGGAATAAGAAACGCATTAACTGCAAACTTAATGTTTTACACTGAAATAGTGCTGATAAAAAAGATTTTTCCTGGTTCTCTTACATGCAGCACAGGATAGGATGCCCATACCCATCTTGCTACAGGCCCACAGCTTTGCCAGTATTGAAGCGTTATGTAGCCCCAGACATGCTCTGTAAGCATTATGCAGTACTCCATAGCTGCCTTAGAATCTTAACTTCTTTCTTCATGTAGTTGTTTTGGGGTGTTTTTTTTTCCGTATAGACTTATAGTTCCTGTGGATAAACCAACAACCAAAAATGCAGCTGAAGCTGATGGCGCCAGGCTGCTCTACTATTCTCAGGCATAATCATTCACCTAGGTGTCAAGCCTCAAGTACAAAACAGCTCTTAACCACAGAGGAAGAAAGGGAACGGCATTGACTTTTAGAAGGATGCTGCTCTTTATTCATTTCATCGGTTTTTAGCGTGTTTTCTACCCTACCCCAGAAGGCACAAGCGCAAGGGGTATTCCCTGCCGTGCGCATAAGCTACTTTGTAATGTCTCGTGGGGAGAAATGTAGGCACACTCTGCACTTGGTTCCTTACTGCCCCTTGCTAGGTGAAACTCGTCCGTGTTTTGCCATGGCAGACCTCTTTTTAGGCAGCTTGTCATCTGTATGCTGCTTCTTGGCCTTCCAAAAAGATGACTGAACTGTGTGACCTCTTTTGGACCTTAAACTGCTTTGATGAGAACAGTAAAGCTTTTGGGTAAGGGCTTTAAATAATGTCTTAGAAATGACTATTACACAAACAAGCTGTGTCCAGGTAATTATCAGAACTAAGCTATCAAGGCTGAAATAGATGAGCTGGCACCAGGAATCCAAGAATCCTCCCCAAAAGAGGCAGCTCTGTATTATCTGAATTAGAATTTCATTGTTCTAGTCTGTCCCTTATTTGAGTGTGTTGTTCCCACTACTAAAGTATCACTTTAGTAAGAAATGAAATTCTATTGTTCTCAACTTAGAGAACCCTTGAACTACTTTAAGACATTTAACCGGATGATTAAGAGTTTAAGATTGTGTTGAATATCAAATGAAGTTCCA